AATTTAGTGACTACCAGAATATAGGACGAGTTGAAACTCTACAAATTATAATAAGTTCAGTAAACAATTCAAAATACCAGCATTTATTGAATTAACACCCTTGTTTTACAACAACATTTACTCAAACTCTATATAATAATCTTACCTTTTCTGATTCCAACTCTTTCAAGAGTATACTTGCATTCTTATTAGCTTCTGCTGCTTGTCTGTCTTTGGCAGAGACAATAATTTCCATACACTGATCGCATTTTTTCATCAATTCCTACAAGATGAAACAGGATTACTCAAATTGTTTTTTGTTTGTTTTAGTTTAGTTTTTAGTTTCTACATCAGTTTTGAGATAATTTCATTTGGATCTACGAAACAGACAACTGAACATTCAAGGTTCAATCTTTTATTTGAATCAAAGTGATTTTTTTTTGGAGATCATGAGTTAAAATAGAAGCTGAAAAATTAAGTTGGGTTGGCGATTGCTTGGGAGAAAATACCCAAGATAAAAATAAAGATTGCATATGGCTGTCTAAAGCTTCTGACATCAAAACTGTTGAGGCACCCAATGATTTTACACTCATTTTGTTTATAAAATATGAATTTCTTTTCACGAAATTCCTCTCAAAATGGATGATTTTTTGTTGGTGCACCAGGGAATAACCATAACAAGATCATCACAAACACTCTGTGTGTGTGTCAGTGATACACCATTATCAGCTGAAAGAAGCAGTTGTCTTTGAAAGGCACAAATCATACATATGGTTGCAGGAAATGTAAGTTTAGTGAACTCCTCACTCCCTAAGTGAACAATAGTCACAATAGAAACATTTTCCTACTCACCTTATCTGACAAAGTTGCAATAAATCTCATACATTCTGCATCGGATGGAAATTGGTGAACATATTTAACCATCCACCTCACGACCTTCACATGACCTTTCCTGAAAGCTGCCATTAGGCATGACACTTTCCTGTTATCTTGTGCATCTATATCAGCAGCAGCAATCACTAACAGTTGTACCACATCCAAATGACCACCTAGTGATATGAAATGATTTATGTGAAATGTTATGATCAAAGATTTACTGGCAGGGTTTTTGAAAAAATGGATGGACGATAGATTGATGATACATACCATTACATGCCAACCATAGTGGAGTGTTTCCTTTCTTGTTCCTGGCATCCACTTGTGCTCTTCTAGACAGCAGTAATTCTACAAATCGATAGTGTCCCTTGTCTGCAGCAATCGTCAAAGCAGTGTCTCTGGATGATGGAACTGGAGCTGCATTGACATCAGCACCTTTATCCAACAAGACACGCCCAACTTCAGCATATCCACCTGATGCTGCTTCCATCAATGGAGTAAGGCCAGTCTGAAAACACAATGAAACAAACTGTAGCCTTACACAGGTGTATGCATGGGCCAGTCAAATGGTATATGATAGACATATAAGCAAAACAAAACCCAGCTTCGTATAGGCCCTTTCTAATGATCTAATGTCGCTTTTCTGAACACAGTAATGGGAGATTCAAAATGATATGGATTAAAAAAGTGACAATTAGCTCATCTTGGTCTTGAGTTGGACGAGTGATAGGCGCGCGGGGGGTGGGGGGGGGGTACTTGTCTTAGAAAGTAAGGTCTAATCTTTGTTCTGATAAAGTGAAAACTGTAATTTTTACAGCTAATTTAGCAAGCATAGATTTCATGTTTAATTTTATGTTCATGTTTAATAATTCATGTTTGTTTAACAAAAATTATACCTCAGGTACTGAGGTACATATTCACTCAATAACCTGCAGCTACAGTATTTGAAAGTATTTTACAGCATGTACTAGACAATGCATAATTCCAAGAGTCAATTTAGGCATAAATAACACAAAATGCCAAAAACTAATTTCAGCAATATGACAGCCGACAACATTTTAAGTTGATTTTTCCTACCTTTGCTCGGTGTTCAACATTTGCTTTTCTGTCAACCAACAAGCTAACCACTTCATGACGGCCTTGAAAACAAGCTAATGTGAGAGCAGTGTTACGATTGGTCTCAATTTGAGCATTAATATCACTTCCCCTATCCAGTAGTAGCTTGACAGCTTGAGTGTGTCCATTCATTGCAGCCAGCATTAAAGGTGAGATGCCCAGTTTGCTACCAGTCCTATATACAATAACATGTCCAGTCAGGAGTTTTCAAAGATGCATCATGACGCAAGCTTCTCAATACTTCTTTGAAAGAATGACTGACTAAATATTTGCTTGTAGAATAAATTAAAGTTGCATTCTCTTTTTATATATACAAAACACTTCCCACTGATTATTGCGGTCACCATGAAAATTGAGGAAATCAGTTGATTCAGTGAAATATCCTGAAATATTGGAGGACTGAAATTATCCTGCTGATTAAAATTTGAACTGAAAATATTAACTGTACAAATCTAAATTAGGCGAGGGTTCTCCGAACCCGCCTATTCACATAGTTCATACCCACCAATGACTATTTTGAACTGTAGGCATTAATCAGTGATTCTGCCGGTGACGGAGAGATAGAATCCAGGTCAGGGGAAGCCCCATGACCTCAAGATTCTTTTACCCGAGGCCACAGGTAGCCGTCCATCACTCTGGTTCCTTTCTCTCCGCCTCGAGGACTTAGACCAACGCGACGGAAAGAGTGGGGAAGTTGGGGG